CCGGATACATATGCGCCACACAAAATAATGAGAGTGGGAGAAGGAAGAAGATGCGTATATATAATTGGAGGAAAAAAAAGAAAAGGAGAAGAGTAATGATCAGACTCTCCCCACTCTCGGCCGTACCAGGGCATTTGGGGGCAGGTTTTAAGAAAATGAGATTCTTGCAAATTATTTATTTGACAAAGAGATACTAATAACTTGTACATAAATGTGAAGGTATTTGGAATCTAACAAGAACGACTGCATATATTTGAAAGCAAAACTCAGTAAATCTTACAAACTGATATCATATCTTTGTCTAAAAACCCAATCTTTTTAGAATAACTATAACAATAATCGAACTGTTACTTTTACTTAATATTCTACGTCTAACTCTGGAATTAGTCTCTCGTTATTTTCGCTGTTTGAAAAGCACAAAACGAAAGCTGTGACCGAGAAATATATTTCATTACTGCTAGTAAAAATCTGAAGTTATTCAGTACTGAAATGATGGGAGACTACTAAATTACATTAATTTCGGTTGTGGAAACGACTTGATTTGTAGTCTTAATTACTTTAATTGTCAACTAAGTGTTGATATATTTCTACCTCCCTTATTTAAATCTAAAAGTAGTCGTAGAAGAGACAAAGATATGTATTATATTTCGCGAACCCCACCGAATGCCCACAAATGCCCTGGTACGGCCGAGAGTGGGGAGAGTCTGCTCTCCCTCTCGAAATGCTCTCACATGGCCACGCGAATATATAGCCTCTGCCAGGGAAGTCCTACTCACTGTCTTCTCGTGGCGGGGGTGTTGCTTACGAAAGTGAGAGGACGAAAAGCGAATGTCCGGTGCTTTAACCGGATTGGTGGACACGGAGGGTCCACCTAGGGGAGTTGGAAAACCCTGATTCCAAACCAATGGTGCACATGGGCTCCAGTATCCTGATGGAACGAATGGCGGAAGAACCTGCTGTTGGTCAACGGCAACCATGGGACTGCATCTCCTCACGATGCTCCACTGCCTTGTGGATCAGACCTTTAGGTCAAAGGCTCGGGGTGTGGCCCCTAAGAAAACCACCTGCTTCGGTTTGGGCACCCGGGCAGTATCACAGCCCACACACAAACAAATGAATGAAATTATGAACTTTATTGACGATATCCCTGGTCATACTAAAAGCAAAACAATTAACATTATTATTATTATTACCTTTATTATTATTATTATTATTATTATTATTATTATTATTATTACTTACCATATCGCTAATTCACCCCCTTTTATCCCCAATTTGTGTAACCTTACTTTTCAACTTATGCAGCAGCTCGCTCTTGGTGGAAAATCTGTCCTATCTAAACGATCTCCAGTCACTGTCTGGTTGAAAGTGAATGCTTCCACCGATTATGAATACTGAAGCAGTCTTTCTGAAACCACGTACGCCGTTCAAGCTGGCTTCCTTCAACGTTCGCACACTAATGCAGATCAGACAACAGATAGGGCTGGCTATGTCTTTGGAAGGTCTTAATGTTGACGTTTGTTGTCTATCCGAGACCCGTATTCAAGACTCTAGTGAAGTACTACAAATCCGCTCTCCATCTGTCGCCTCGAAAAGCTTGTTCCACGTGCGCTTATCCGGGGACCCTGTGGCATCTTCGTCTGGTCTTGCTGGTGTTGGTGTCGCACTAAACGCTAGAGCTGAGGCAGCACTCATCGATTGGATCCCCATTAACAGTCGGTTATGTGCTGTTAGATTAGAAAGTTCCATCAAAGTGAGAAGAAATCGGCGTGAGAAACGGTGTCTTTTCGTCATCTCCGCCTATGCCCCGACAGATTGCAGCCCGGATGCAATCAAGGATGAGTTTTACCACCAGTTAACGCTTCTTCTCCAGGAAGCGCGTTCTACAGATATTGTAGTACTAGCCGGAGACTTGAATGCACAGGTCGGGCGTCTAGGCACAGAAGAGAGTCGTTTAGGTGGCCGATGGGGACTTGTTGGTCGCAGGACAGATAACGGGGACCGTTTGCTGCAACTGTGCACAGACCACAACCTGTTTCTGGCCAGCACTAACTTCCGGCACAGTCATCGCCGGTGTGCTACCTGGCGTCCTCCCTCTGCATCTCAAGCCTGGACTCAGATTGATCACATCGCGATCAGCTACCGCTGGCGTGGTTGTGTACAAGACTGCCGCTCCTTTTGGAGTACCTATCTGGAGTCTGATCATGTCCTGGTCTGCGCCAATCTCACCTTACTTTTCAGTGGCCGAAGGATTGACCACCACCAACGGATCGATGTTAGTAAACTGGCTGCAACTTCTGTTGCAAGTAAGTATCGAGCGGAGCTAGCCTCTAGGCTAGCTACCACCCCACCGAAAAGTATAGGTAAGCATTGGTTGCATCTTCATGACGCCATGAAAATGGCGAGTAAAGCCGCTTGCGGCTTCGCGAAACGTCCCGCTTACAAGCACTGGGTTTCTTCTGGCTCCTTACAACTGATGGAAGCCCGTCGGTCTACTCCGGGTGACCGTGAGTTTGACCACAAACGAAGTCTGTTACGTAATGAAATCGGGCAAAGCTTGCGTAAGGACCGGGAAGCCTGGTGGTCGGAGCGTGCTGATGAGATGGAAGCAGCAGCTGCATCTGGTAACTGCCGGAAGCTCTTCCAACTCATCCGAGCCACTGGCAGCAAGAAGTCTGGTGTGAGTGAAACAATCTACGAGGATGACGGGATGCCAATCACTAACATCTGTCGACGTCTTGGACGATGGGCGGAATTTTTGGAAGGGCAGTTCAACTGGCCTGCTGCTCCGACAACATCGACCAGTTTGTCCTGCCCCCCATGGTCGGTGACGACTGATCCACCAAACGAGGCGGAAGTCCGCAAGGAACTTTAACTCTTGAAGCGCTACAAATCACCGGGCCCAGATGACTTACTTCCAGCTCTTTTTAAAGATGGTGGTGACTTTCTGGCTAAGGAACTGACTGCGTTGTTTGCAAAGGTTTGGGAGGAAGAAAGTGTTCCAACATCATGGAATGAGTCGATAGTCGTCCCTATCTTTAAAAAGGGTTCACGTTGTTCCTGTAACAACTATCGGGGGATAAGTGTACTTCCGATTGCGTCCAAACTATTGGCTTCTGTCATTCTTCGTAGGTTGTTTAAAACCCGAGAACGATTGACTCTCGAGGAGCAGGCTGGTTTTCGTTCTGGTCGAGGATGCATTGATCACATCTTCACCCTCCGCCAAATGTTAGAACACCGTCATACTTATCGCAGGCCAACAATCGTAGTGTTTCTTGGTATCAGGGCTGCCTTCGATTCGTTAGACAGGACTGTTCTCTGGGATTGTCTATTGAAGAAGGGTGTGCCTGAGAAGTTCATTAACATCTTAAAGACCCTGTATACGAACACCTCAGGCAGAGTGAGGGCATACAACCACCTTTCTCCCTTGTTCCATTCGAGCAGTGGGGTTAGGCAGGGTTGCCCGATCTCACGATTCCTCTTCAACTTTGCCATCGACGACATCCTAGAAACAGCTCTGATGGATGTAAGTAATGGCGGTGTGGATATGTTGCCTGGAGAACGACTTCTCGACCTCGAGTATGCGGATGATATTGTCTTACTGTGCGATAATACTCAAGGCATGCAATCAGCACTTAATCAGTTGGCAATCAGTGTCCGCAGGTACGGTATGTGCTTTGCACCCTCCAAGTGCATGGTACTCCTACAAGACTGGCAGGATTCTCATCCTGTACTCACCCTGGATGGTGAGCAGATTGAAGTAGTTGAGAAGTTCGTGTATCTAGGTAGCTACATAAGTGCTGGTGGTGGCGTGAGTGATGAGATTGATGCACGTATAATGAAAGCCAGAGCGACTTATGCCAGTCTGGGCCATCTTTGGCACCTTCGTGATGTTAGTCTGGCTGTAAAAGGTCGGATCTACAACGCGTCGGTGAGAGCAGTTTTGCTCTATGCTTGTGAAGCCTAGCCTCTCCGAGTTGAGGATGTTAGACGTCTCTCTGTGTTCGATCATCGTTGTCTCCGAAGGATTGCTGACATTCAGTGGCAACACCATGTTAGTAATGCAGAGGTTCGGCATCGTGTGTTCGGGCGCAGAGACGATAATTCGATTGGTGTCACCATCTTGAAACACCGACTTCGGTGGCTTGGACATGTTTTACGAATGTCGTCCCAGAGGCTTCCACGTCGTGCATTATTTGCCGACTCTGGGACTGGTTGGAAAAAGCGGAGAGGAGGTCAGTGTATGACATGGTGTCGTGGCATGAAAGAGAGCTGCAAAGGGCTAGCTTCTGTTGGTCCTCCACGACGCTCTGGCTGGGGTCCGAGAGATGGTGCAGCACAGTGGCTAGAGATGTTATCAGATATGGCTCAGAATAGAAGCCAGTGGCGAGCCTGCTGTAACCTTCTTCTACTTTCTTCATAAAGAGTGGCTATAACTTCCCTAACTGAGAGAGCTCTTCTGGTTGTACATTCAGTTCCCCCCATCATTACTCTTCTCCTTTTCTTTTTTTTCCTCCAATTATATATACGCATCTTCTTCCTTCTCCCACTCTCATTATTTTGTGTGGCGCATATGTACCCGGTGCCCTTTGTACCAATATATATGTGATGAAATAATAATAACATATGATAGGATATTGGGCGAATATGGCAAGTCAGCTAGTGAGGTTTTGGAAGAAGTAGTTTCATGTCAAAGATCCACTATTAATATTACTTTTATAAATGTCACATTCTGTCTTCGTATTATTTCACAAAATTCTAATGTATAAATTCCCGAAATTTCAAGTAAGGTGGTTGTTTTAAGTAATTGAGTAGTAGTGTCATCTCCAATGTATATCGAAAAATTGTCAGCTAGCTATCAGTGTGTTACTGATCAATTTTCTTCATAGCGCTAAAGTATGTTTATTTCGATATGTTCACTGTCATTTTGTGTATGCTTTATTTCCATTTTACCTATGAATAAGAATTCTTAACCTTTATGCTATTTTCTCTTTCCAAAGAATTGTAGCAATCAAAATACAATATCCAGGTATAGCTGATAGCATCGACGCAGATATTAATAATTTGACATCACTTTTAAATCGTTTTAATATCTTCCCACGTGGTTTATTCGCTGAAAAAGCAATTGAAGTAGCTAGAAAAGAATTAAGAGCAGAATGTGATTATCTACTTGAAGCGGCTTACGGTAAACGTTTCACTCAGTTATTAGAGGATGATCCTGTTTTTCAAGTTCCACAAGTAATTGATGAACTAACAACTAGTCGTATATTAACCACGGAATATATGAATGGATTAGTCTTAGATGACTGTATTAATCTTCCACAAAATGTGAGAAATTGGGTAAGTATGTTGTTTCGTAAATCCTTATTTCCCACTGTGTATAGTATTTGTTATCTAGTGTATATGTAAATGCGTTGTAGGAACGATGATATCATTTCGATGTTTACGTTTAACATCCATACTGTATTGAGCGGTGGGTCAGAGATTAGGGTTCTGATTTAACCGTTGAATTGCGGGTTCGAACCTAGCCCTACCTACAGTCGGGTAGTATTGTGGTGTATGCTACTTATCTTGACATATTTAAGTAGTATATGACACCAGTCATAATTGGAATGCCTGTGAGCAGAAAATTGAAATGAAAAGAGAAGAAAACAGAGCAATCAGTATAACAACAGCAACGAAGGGACAATGAAGTTTGCAAGAAACAATTCAGAGAATATGTGTAAATGACGCACATAATGTATGATTTTCACATTTTACTAAACCATTTTGTGATTTTGCATGGAACCATAAATTGGTTATCCCTACCAAGTCTTCGTTCATTACAGTTAGTGTCTCTGCCTCCACTCAGGATGAAGATTCCATGACCGAGGAAGTTTGAAGTTGTTTCAGAGCTAATGGGTGTGAAGGAGCCCAAGGTGACGTGACTCTGTAGCTGTTAGTGGTGATACGAATTTTTCAACTAAATTGTGTAATGCAGCCGCTATGTTGAGTGGCTCAGCATAATCAGTAGTAGTGCTATAGGTTTGGGTAGGTACTGTTAAATCCAAATATGAAATTTATTAGTTCTTATAAACATGAGGAGTGTGGATTCTCGAAGAAATCCAGGCTCACTCTAAGTTGTTCAGCTGCTAGCAACATTGTTTTGAGTATTTTGTGTTGCGTCTGTCCCTACGCTGCGAAGTCAACTTTATCATAGTTAATATGATGTAACTAGAATGACAAAAATGGAACTCATTTCAATGTATGAAAATGCATGTATTTCACTGTTAAGTTTACCGATATAACAAGTATATAAATTTCAAAATTGCAATGGTCAGTCATAAACACTACAACCTGCCTAATACATGCATCCGTTCAAGTTATAACACCAATGTCAGCACAGCCAACTTGTCTATGTGGCTCTACATAGCGTGCACCTTGTTGAGATAGGGTTTTCTATCGACTACCTCCAACCACCATCCTACGTGCTAACTTTCGTACATGTGCTTTTAATTTCAGTATGCTTTTGAAGTATAGTTATAAAGTGTGTTGATAATTAATTACAAATTATGTGACTTCGATAAGTATATAAGACTATGGTTCTTATATTCATTTCTACCTAATTAATTTGAATAAACGTTTTTGTTTACTCATAAGTAGTCAGTTTACAGGTCTCAGTTTTTTATCTGCCTTTTCAGATTGGTGAACAATTATTGCGACTGTGTTTGAAAGAGTTATTTGTATTTCATGTTATGCAAACTGATCCAAACTGGTCGAATTTCTTGTACAACCCTCAAACAGGCAAAGTAAGCTCATGTTCTTGAACTATAAGTTGTTTTTCGTATGCTGAGCTTCTGATCTGTGGGTTACTAAGTTTTGTTATGTTACTATATTATCAAATTATTGCCCTAGTCACCTATTATGTTGATAGGTTACTGTACTTACGCTATGAATACTACTTGCTCTAAAAGTAACCTCTTTTTATCAGATCTAATTTGCTGTTTGCAACTACTTATAAGTATTACCAACCTTTTATGTCCATTAATCTCCAATCTATTGTTCCTGGTACATTCTGTTTATCGTCTCTATTTGTTAGGTTAGTTCCTAAACCAACATTTCAGATTTGCGTTAATGTTTTTCATCCTGCAGCTCATCATAAAGAGGCTGCATTTAATTCCGACGGAACTTCTGCAACCTATTATCTTTGATCTTTCAGGTTTGTTTTCACATTAGTCTGTCTACTGAAGATGTTGATCATGTGATTATGATTATTTCGTCAGAAACTTCCTAAAGTAAACTTCAGTTGGGTATTGTTTCAGGAGTGCTTTTTCTATCTAAATCCACCTCGAAATTGATACTTTTCTTTATTTTAAGCTTCATAAATGATCCCCATTAAAGTCAATCTTCATCGTTTTGTGTAAGTGCATATAAATAGTAACTTGTGTTGTGGCTTATCTGCGTTCCTAATAAAGCCATCCAATAGACAGTTGATAGGTGACTATCAGCATGATTTCATTACAGACATAAACAGTTTATTCTTGATTCTGGTGGTATTACACGTTTATGCTTATTTATTCTTTATATTGAACTAAAACATACTAATCAGTAAAATTGTGATGAGTTTTCTGATCGATTTTATTCGTATAATTAAGTGGTTGTACGTTACGTCTTGGACATTAGGCTAATTATTCGAGGTCATACTAATACTATTCAACTGTTTAAAGTTGAGATAGATGGAGTCGATAATATTTCGTAAATTCGAGCCATTAGTACTGTGGTGTGGTCTATTTATATCCATATAAGTAGTATATGGTGTGGGTCAGACATAGAATGTATTTTCGCAGAAGACCGATGACGAAAGAACTGAAATAAAGCGCAATCGTTTGGAAAATGCATGAGCAATGGTATAAGAGAAGAAACAGTGAAGATTGAAACATTTGATTGTTAATTTGCAAATTAACTGTTCATTGTTTGGTTATCACAATTTACTGAGATAGTCTGTAATGTTTGCTTAAATACATTCGATTGTCCCCAACCAGTGTTCTGTTCACTACAGTACTTGTGACACTCGTGGAAGTCGAAAATAGAGGCGGAGGATTGATGGTGGCGACAAAAAATGTTTTGGAAGTGAAGAGAGAGTGTAACTGTAAGAAAAATAATCTAGAATAAAATTACTTCTCCGTCACTCACCCCGTGGAGTCATGTTTCTTTTGGTAGGACTTTTCAAGTAAACTGGATTAATAGTGAAGTTGACGAACTGGAAGGATGACTACAGAGCCCAAGAGACAACTACATGGAACCAGTCACACACGGTCTTTTTTGAGTAGTATTAAATGTGTCAGCGCTGTACCTATGAAGTCTTACCGCTAATGACTGAAACCAGTGTAGCAAAATAAGGCGCGGTGATTTGAGGCTTGACTTTTTCTGAGTCCATTTGTCCGTTGTTGAAAGAGCCGTTACACTACAGTGAAGTCAGAAATAGGACTTCACCATCAGATCTTAAGTTGCTGCTTTTGGTCCTATCACTTTTTAACCAACTCACCTGTCACTGTAGGATTTGGCGAAACAAGTCTCCCAGCTAATACATTTGAATTGGGTCGTCATGATAAGAAATCCCGACCATCACGTCAAAGTGTTGGTTCAAACCAGGTGATGAAGTGAGTGCGAAGTTGTGGCTAAAAGTCCAGTTTATAAATCACCTATCCACAATTTTTCATTCTGATTTTCTTCTGAAGTTGTACTAAAGCTTTCGAAAACTCGTTTAATCATGTCACGTATGATTTTTCGTCTTGAATTATCACTATTATTTTTTAATATTTGCTCTGTAGATTGTTTTATTGGATTTTGGAGCTTCTAGAGAATACAGCAAATCCTTTGTCGACACATATATTCGTTTAATTCATGCTTCAGCGGAACATGATGAAGAAACTATACTCAAACTATCGAAAGATTTAGGCTTTTTGACTGGTTACGAAACAAAAGTAATTTTATAGTTTGGTTATTTTTACTGTCATTTTTCAAAATGGTTTTCTTTGCTATCTGAGCATAGAAACATATCATTTAGATGTCGGCAGTTTATTTGATCTTTTTACAGTGATATTTTACCATCAGTTTGTGTTTATCACTTTTGAAGGAAGTAATTTTTATTTTTGTATGATATACAATCATTTAAATGACTGAAGATCTTTTAGAGGTGAAACGTATGGATGATGTCCAAATTTCTTACAATCAGTAGGGAGAATTACATGTTTCTGTGTGATGTCCTCTGGTTGTTTTCTTTTACCGGATATATTCCAGATCCTGCATTATTTATGTTTAGTCTTTTTGACTACCACTGATATACTATTACTATTTTGGTATTCATCTTGATAAGTCCAATTCACTGTGCTAATGTGATGTGCCAACTTGAACCAATGAAGATATCTGGCATATTCCATGTTGTTTCTATCTGATTGACTTATCTCTACCAAGTAGCAATATTCTTAAGCATTAAAGGTAGAATAATTGGTCAAAAACAGACTTTCAATAAACTGGTACTTAAGGCTTAAAGGGACGTCAGAGAATAAATGTATTTATGATACCTCAACAGATTTCAAACTGAATTGTCTAGCATCTCCTCTCCATTTCTTCACGTGATTCAACTTCGAAGTACAATTAGTTGTTCTGTTTTGGATTTCTAAACACTTCTGATATGTCATCAGCTAAAATCTAACAAATGTTGTTCAAGCGGTCGTCTGACGCTAATATATTCAATTGTAGTTTGTAAACTCAATAGCTAATTTATATCGTTTACTTAATAATTTTGTATTTATTTACGGTAACCCTATTTTCAATCTGAGTGTATAATTTTGTAAATGGTAACATTGTGAAATATAACTCAAAATGAAGATCAGTGTTTATTCATTGTGATTTTATTTCATCTCATAAGGAAACATAGTAGGATAAACATAAGAAGGCAAAAAATCAACTCTTCGTTGATTGGGGTTTTTTCCTTCTATCCTTTCTATATGCATATACCTTGTCTTTGTGTTGGTGTTTTCGATATTCTGGACGAGCTGATATCAAGCTCACTTGATGTTTTCTGCCTGTCCGTCTACCGATTAGAAAGTATGTGAACTGTACAGAAATTCATTCCGTATTAATTCATGGCTTTAGAACTTGATCTTTGATTATAGATGTGTATAGGTTACTAGTATTTGGCTATAAGTGTCTCCACGGCTCAACTGAAACAACCAATTGTATGGTGTTAAAATTAAACGTAAAGTTCTAGAAAGAGATGATAAACCTATTGATGAGGCTGCAAGCTGTCGATTTGTATTATCTAAATATGCTTAACCATTGTCTAAACTAACATACAATCCAGGCTAGCATAGAAGTAGTTTGGAAACCATTTAGTCGGCAGCTAGATCAAGAAAAGAGCTTAATCAATAAAACCAGTGACTGCGTTCAACGGAATCACGTTGAAAGGTGTAAACTTCCTACTGGGAGATTCGCATGATAATCATAAACAATGATTGAAGATCCTAGCTGATATATTTGAAAATTGTTCTCAGTGATCCTGACTCATTAATTATCAATGACCAACCCTCATTTCACTTATTAACTGATTTTAAATTGAGCGATTTTTTAACTAGTATTCTACTAAAAATCTATGTAAGATATCATGTTGAATAAACTGATGCATATTCTATTATTCTTATCTACTTTTAATCAACAGGTTTTACAACAAGCTCATGTAGATGCAGTCAGTATATTGGGTGAAGCATTTGCTTCAGAAGAAAATTTCAATTTTAGTCAACAATCAACAACTAAACGTATCAGTCATTTAATTCCTGTTATGCTTGAGCATAGATTAAGTCCACCACCGGAAGAAAGTTATTCATTGCATAGAAAAATGTCTGGTTGCTTTTTATTATGCAGTAAATTGAAAGCTGTAGTTAATTGTCGTCCATTATTTTATGAAATATGGAATAATTACCAGTTCTCTGATAATAACCCGTCGGATTAAAACTTATATATCTCTCTCTATATATATAACTTCTTGTTAATTATCATTCCGACTTGTTTTTAATCTTTGATGATTAATTAACATCGTACTACTGTTACTATTCTTATAGTTCTTTTTTAATGTTAGCAGATTTTATGAAATAGAAGCATTTTTCAGCATAATTCTTGTTCTTGTTATGTTCAGACGGTTGTGTTCACTCATTGTTGTCGTTCTGGTGTATTTGTTTCTGTTTTTTTTTCTAAAAATGATAGAATAAATGAAATATAACTAGAAATGGAGTCATAGACGCGTGTTTTTTCCTTAATTGAACACCATCAGCTGGATTTATCTGCATTCTCACTAGCCCTCAAATGCCCTCTTATGGCCGAGAGTGAGGAGAGTCGTCTCTCCCTCTCAAATTTCTTTCAAATGGTCACGTGTATATGGCCACTACACTGCCTTCTCGGCAAGGGTGTTGTGTATGCTACGTTTGAAGAGGTTACGATATCATCTAAAACCAGCAAACGGAACGAAGGTCAGCATTTAGTGCCGTGCTTCGCTAATCGTTCACCTCCATAACCGTTACAATACAAGTCTTAACGGTGCATAAAATCAGAAGGCAAAGAGAAGCGGCAGCTACTGTTTTATTGACAAATGACACAGGCCAGAAAGTTATAAGCACATGAGCTAATATCAGCGAGCGAAGCATAAATAACACGCATTGGAGATGGCGGGTTAGCCAATTCCCTTTAATCAACCGTTAATCAATATTTATAGTCAGACAAGAATAAGTTACATACATGTGATGAATAAGATAAAAAGTGTATACACACATACGTTCATATAAAAAATATAATCAAGGTTAATAAGTGAATAATTAACAAGGTCAATACGGGACTCATGATGGATAGGTAAATTGGCTTGTCTAGAAGCTAGAATAAGGTATAAGAGCTTAACATATCGACTGACACTACAAGCAACACAAGTGGACAAGCTAAACTATTCCACTGACCCCTAGCACTGCTAACTAGATGGAGAAGACCAGATTCAGCCGAGAGAATTATGTGTCCCACAAGCAGTCGGCAGCACGAACGAATAAGCACACAACTCAAGCGTATATGTATAGCTTAAAAATGTCGTCTGAAAAAGTAATAAAATAGCGTATTAAGGGAGGCAACGAACCAATAAAATTTAAGGTCCTTCCAAGTGAAAAATACCATCTGGAGGTAAAAGCGGGCGCTTTTGGTGCGAAAATGAGAAATTCAAATTTTTAAAATAAAATTTAAAATAATTTCTGAGGATCTGGCATCCCGAACAGTTTACAAACTTAAAAAGACGAAAACCAAATATCTGGTGCTTAAACCGGGTTGGTAGCTACAGAGGGTCCACTTTGGAGTGTGGGAAACCCTGATTCCTAACTCATAGTGGATATGGGCTCCAGGATCCTGGCGTGCTGACCTATTTTTGGTTAACGGCTATCATGAGACTGGATCTAACTTTACTCCACCGCCTAGTGGATTATTACGCATATATATTTGGATGTTTCTTTCTACCAATATATATATATATGAACCTCTGGGATTCGAACCCATTAACTTACTTGACCCAGCGCGTTATCCTCTTGGTGAATTGAAATAACCACTCACTTGTACAACGGATATGGATTTTAATTCAATTTGTAATGTTGTTATTTTGGATTATTCAGTACGAGGCAATTGAAACTCTATTACAAATTGAGTTGTTGTTCAGTATTGTGCTTAATGTTAATCCATAGGTTTATGTTTTTTTTAATTTTTTCTTTACAGTTTATATTTCCATACATGTATGTAACTACTTATATAGGTACCAATTGAATTGTGTTATATATAATTATGGTAATGACAAAATTTAGTGAACCCTCATCTCCAAATCCAAATGATGAAATCGGTGATAATCATAATGATAATTATATAAATGGTAAAATTGTAATTTAGAATAATTTCTATTTTAGACATAGGAACTAATGAAGATATCATAGATTCAACAGTTATACCTGTTGGTTATGCTTTGCTGGGCAGTGAAATTGTACACATGGCAGACGATAACATTGAAGATAATAATAATGATAGTGAGATAAATGATTTGTCAGATAGTGAAAATGATGAAATTGAAAATAACATTGTAATCAGTCAGCATTTATCAAATTTCCAATCCATTGGATCTGATAATTATAATGGTGATGATAATAATAATAATGATCATAACAGTGATCCAGTCAATTTACAAGTCGATGTAGATAATCTTCTGAATCGACATTTGAGTCGAACTGAATTTGAACCACGGGGAGCATTTACAGTAAGCCTTTGTGCTATAGTGTATATTAGTAGAATATAGAAAGAATAATTTTCATTAACAATAATAAAGATAATAACACAAATCTTAGTGTTGGAGTTAGACATAAACACCATCGGATGCTGGCTCAGTGGTTTGTCGGTTATGTGCTCTGGCGCGAGACTGGTAGGTCCTGGGTTCGAGTCGCGCGAGGCGAGGTCGTGGATGCGCACTGCTGAGGAGTCCCACAATAGGACGAAACGGCCATCCAATGCTTCCAGGTTTTCCCTGGTGGTCTAGCTTCAACTGACTCACACTTTTAACTATGAAAATATTAAATCTCTACAAAACCCCCTTCTGATACTAAAATTTGTGTTATTATCTAATACATTACTCACTAGATGACTGGCATATTTTATTATTGTTACTGTTAAACATCTGTATTAGTATAGAGTCAAGATGAAAAACTATTCGAGAAGAAATATTTCCTCAGTCTATTCCTTTTATTTTTGTTACTAAATGTCTGGATGACAATTTTCACCACACAGAAATATTTTTATTACCAGTAAAAAGTTTTAAATAAAAAAAAGTAAAAATAGTTGCCATGTTTTCCAAGTGATAAATTTTGCTTAACTAACCAACCTATTTAGTTAAACACATAAACATTGATACAATGAAGCACCAGATTATATCCTTTGATTTGTGTGAGGGCTGTAATTACTGTCCAAGCGCCCAAACCGAAGCAACTTATCAGTCTCGTTATAAATACTTTCTTTAGTTGACTCTAGCAACTATCTATACTTAACTGTATGGCTCCTTTCACTGATATGAAATTCTGTAGCACGTAATCATAATCCAATTCAAAGATTACAGACCTGACGGAAATCACAAGATGTGAGTGAACAATAATTGGCTAATTAAAAAAAATGAGGTGAAAATTCTTAAGACCTTTGTATTGTTTACATTTTCGGTAGAAAAAAAGGCTCTAAATAGAAATAGTTCGAGTGGAAATTCTAGAATTAAACTATGAAAAAGGATTTTGTTTTTTAAAAACTTCATTTGTTTTGTTTAAAGTATCACAGTTAACAGGTTACATGAATCAATATGATGACAAGATAAATGAAATATTTATAACGATACTTATCAATTAATTAATTACATTTTAATGCATTCCATTCATTAATGAGAGTTCCCTTTTCACACTGACTAGCCATCTGAAAATTTCACTCATTATTATTGTTTATTGAATTAAATAGTAACAAATATGTTCCAGCATGTATCATAAGTGTTGATTATGTATTCTTTGTAATTATCAGTAATCAACCAAAATTCATAAAACCTACGGGTGATTTTAAATGACCAATTCTTACTTGGACGTTCGATTATCATGTTACTAATAATAAATAATACAGTAGACAAATATATTCCCAATTACTCTGTATCATATTTCAGCTAATATTACTAACTAATATGCATAAAACTACATTTCAATTCGATAACGACGCACAGTATAAATGAGTTGGAAAATTCGACCACTGAAATTCAAATACAGTGATTTGTTGATACTCTTGGGCGATCCGACGTAGATGAAATGATAAAAAAGGATGCTAATTATGAAATGGTATTAGTGAAGATTATGGACTTACTTCCGAAGAAAGCAAACACACTATCGGTTTAAAATATGGCTTCATTTTCTGAGGGACATGTATCTATAGTTGTAAATGATTTGTGCGTATATTCTCAATTCGGTTAACCATTCTTGGTTGTTTTCACCCGATTAGCTGGTTTATATATATATCAGTAACAGTTAGCACTCAAATTTCTTCCAAAAACTTGATTATCATTTCGTTCCGAATAGATCGTAAGAGTATGATCCAGAATCGAATTAATGATCTGCAATTGATTTAATTAAAGATCACTAATTGACTAGTTCATTGCTTTTTGGCTTTCAATCTTACTCTATTTGTTGACAGTATATAATGCGAATGGATCAGCTAATCATTCAATTTCTTGATAAACATTCAGTATAGTGTATTTTCGTTAACGAATTAGAAGTTGAATAACACAATACTTTTCTATTTTGCTTCATTTTTTTTCGATATATATTTAGGCTTCCAATTTGTATACTGATACAATTGATGATTCATCTCATATAGAATTGTGGAATCAGAACACACCGGCATCCACGTCTCAAATTACAATTACTCCTGGTAAGTTATAAATGTGATCAGTGTTGTTTAATTTTCGTCATTGTTTTGTATTCCATCCTCTTCCTCTCTGTTCCTCTCTTATCTCATTCTTTTAGTTTTCCACTCTTATTCAATAAGCCTATCATCATACCAATAATGTCTGAATATGATTGTTCTGTGTGATATTTAAAGTAAATTAGTTGTGTATTTTAATAACTTGATAATCAGATCTATAGTCATAGAATAATTATAAACCATTATCAGCTGAGGTGGTAAGAACATGTGTTGAGTATTTTCAACCACCGGCAACCTTGATGCGCAATAATGTTCAGTATAGAGGAGTAGGTTAGAAGAAAGTTAGAGGCGTTCAATACAAGATTCGACTTGAATCCACTAAGTAATTGACTATCGGACTGGACCATAAAGGTAGGTTCGAACTAGTCGGTTGGGGTCCTCGTAATTGTCATGTTTTAGGTGTTATCATTGGTTCAGATGCATTCACTCTTTATCCTAAAATGCTGATACTTTTTATCCTGTATATTTATTTTCTGTTCTCAAATCATATTACCTATACCTAATATGTACTATCATAATATTGTTAATTCTATTACTCTGGCAATTATCTTGATAACTGTTACGTCCTTGAATCTGTCTACCCACTTAGTGCGGAGTATAATGTAGATTAAGACCTTGACACGATAGACTGACTGGCTTAACCTTGAGGACAATATGCGTGAGTTCGAAATAGGGGCAGAGAGACGAAAACTATTCTGTCCCTGATTGGCTGGCAAGCACGAGAGAGAGAGAGAAGACAAGACAGATGGAACACTAATCACTTTATTCCAACCCGATCTAGCACTCGAATTCCCAATTCAGATTAGGGTGAAAAGTTACATGAATAAATAGATGACTAAGCGGACCACAACGTACAATAATTAGAAAAATACAATCATGTCCAAAACTGGGGAATTATAGTAGAAAATAGGGTACAAAAGATTACGTCTAAATGACAATAGCTTTAGGGCAGAAAATGCTATGGCGATGAATTATACATCAAACGAAAGCTTATGATCTGTAGAATAGGCTAGGGGCAAAAGTAAATATTACAGTTTTACAAGCTTTGAATTAAATGAATTAACGTCCCCGAAAATAGCTTCCGTAATTTGTTCAGGCTTCTAGTTTTGCGGATCACATCATCTTCCCCCTTGACAAAAAAAAGTTATGTCATCACTGCCATTGATTAAGTGCATAAAGGAAAACTGGATTGCGTTGTGGTCGTGACCGATTGGGTTAACTGGAATAAACAAAAAAAAAGAAAACGGTTAGACACTAATTACAAACAGTAGCTAAGATATCATCACTGATATCTCCCCTCAGAAGTATATGCTCTTCTCTTCGGGTCCACCTGCAGTATATCGGGCCTTCTGCGTTTCCGTTGTGATCTCCTAATAGGATGTTGTTCCAGTTGTACAGTTTTCTTAGTTGCTGGACTTCCTATGTCGAAACTGTCCAGGAAGACTTCCCACAATGAGCACATTTTCTCGGTTTTCTGAGGAGTACCAGAACTTTCCAGTATGTGGTTAGCGTGACGTATCCACTTTTGGCCTTCAACCTCTACCACATACATTACATTCCCTCGTCTCCCAAGTATGCGTCCACTGGTCCATTGTGGAGGTGAGTATCGGAAATCACGGACATATACTTTTTGATTATCTCGGAAGATTCTACTTTTCGCCCCATGGTGACGATTAAATTGAGATTCCATCTTCTGGTTTCTTCTTCCTACACCATTTTGCTTTGGTTTTATGGCATCGAGAGCAGTTTTAACTTTTCTACCAAACATAATTTCTGCTGGAGACAATTTATTCGGCGCTGATGGATTTGGAGTCGTTCTGTAGACTAACAGAAAATCATCAAGAATTTCCTTTATCTTCCCTTCCCCCCTTGCCTTCAGTAGCGCTCTTTTGAAGGTATCCACAAACCTTTCTGCTTGACCATTTGATTGTGGATGGTATGGAGGTGAACGAACATGTTTGACCCCAAACCTGTTGCAGAAGTCAGAGAAAATGGAAGAAGTAAACTGAGTGCCATTATCTGACACGAGAATATCTGGGACTCCGAAACGAGAGAATAACTGCCGTAACTCGATAATAGTCTCTTGCGACGTGATTTGCTTCATGGGTAGAATCTCTGGCCACTTTGAGTAGGCATCGACACAAATGAGAAAATATGTACCTTGAAATGGGCCGGCGAAATCAATGTGTATACGCGACCAAGGTTCTTTCGGGGATGGCCAAGAATTGAGTTCAGCTTTCCGTGGACATTTCGAGGCTGCAGCACATTTTCTGCACGCACGCACTAAGTCTTCGATGTGTTCATCAATGTTAGGCCAGTATACATAACTTCGAGCAATAGCTTTCATTCTTCCAATACCTGGATGAGCTGTGTGCAGTTGTTTCAGAACGAGTGGGCGTAGGTTACTTGGAATTACTACGCGATCAGCGAACATAATACAATCATTTACGATGGATAAAGATTGGCGTCGTTGATAATACTGTTTTAGTTCATGAGATGTTATACGTGGGGGCCAACCACGCCGGATAAATGTAGCTAGTTGCCTTAAGATAGGATCACGGAGAGTGTGATCAGCGATTCGAGCAGCTGTCACTGGAAGAATTCGCGTTGAATTGAGCAACATGCTGCTTACATCTTCTTCCACTGATATAGAAGCAATGACAGTATCTTCATTTTCAAGCTTATGATTTCTTATTAAGCGCGATAGTGCATCAGCATGACCAAAGTCAGAGGTAGATTTGTATTTGATAGTGAAATCATAACCCAACAACATTGTAGCCCATCGTTGGAGGCGATTTGCAGTATAAACAGGTATACCTTTCTTAGATCCAAAGATCGATAATAGGGGTTTATGATCAGTAAATAAGGTAAATTTTCTACCATGCAGCATTTTGTGAAACTTCTTAACTGCAAAAACTAGTGCCAATCCTTCTTTCTCAATTTGGCTGTACTTGCGTTCTGCCGAAGTCAACGTTCTGGAGGCATGGGCTATAGCTTTCTCTGTGCCGTCTTGAAACCTGTGGGATATAACAGCTCCGACACCATAATCAGAAGCATCTGCGGCAACAACGATTTCCAGTGAGGGATCAAAATACGTAAGAAGTAGGTCCGATATTAATAGGGACTTTACTTTGTCAAAACTCTTTTGACACTCAGTGGACCAGTTCCATTTTACATTTTTGGATAATAGATGGTTCATGGGTGCTCGTAGGCGATGCAATTCTGGTAAAAAGTTACTGTAATAACTGATAAGACCAAGGAACGAGCGTAGAGTTGCGACGTTAGATGGTGGAGGCATATTTTGGATAGCTCGTACGTTTTCTGGATCTGGGCGTCGTCCATTTTTGTCGAAAACAAAACCAAGATATTTTACCGAGTCCATGAAAAATTTACACTTCTCTTCTTTTAGATAAAATCCATACTCAGATATTTTGGTCAAAACAGCATCAAGTCGATCAAATAAATCGGACTTACTGGAACCTGTAACGATAACATCATCCAGATAGACAGCGACTCCTGGCAAATTTGCCAACATAGTGTCCATAATTTGTTGAAAAGTAGCTGGTGCTGGTTTCACACCAAAAGGCAAACGTTTATATTGATAAAGGCCTCTGTGAGTGTTAATCGTCAGTAGTGGTTGGGAGACTGGATCAACTGCTATTTGGAGATATGCGTCAGCAAGGTCAATCTTAGCAAAATACTTCCCTCCATTTAGTTTGATAAATAAATCTTCCTGTATGGGAAGTGGATAGGTGTGATCCTCTAAAGCATCATTTAGACCAGTGGAAAAATCAGCACATATGCGAACAGTCCCATTTGCCTTTCTCACGACTACTATGGGAGCAGCCCATGGTGAGTAATTTACTGGCTGAATGACACCCAGTGCTTCTAGCCTGTCAAGTTCCTGGTCAACGACTGACAGAGCAGCATAAGGTACTGGTCGTTTTGGTCTGAAGACAGGTTTTGCATTTTGCTTTAACGACAAGAAAACTTTGGTGAACTTACAACAGCCCAGTTTGTTTTGGAATACATCTGCATGTTTTTGCCGAAGATGATTTACATGGGATGTGGTCGACATTTTAGAGGAATAAGATGCATGAGATTTTGAAATATTACGGCAGCATACTTTGTTTGACGAATTTGATGGGGAAACATTTTGTGAACATGTTGCATCGGAGTTATTTGATTTAGCATCATTATGAGAACACATCAAATCGGAGGTATTTGATTTGACATCATTATGAGAACACATTAAATCGGAGGAATTCGATTCCGAAATATTACGAGAACATGTTACATCGGAAGCATTTAGTTCATAAACATCAGGGGAACATAACACAACTGAGGCATTTGATTCGGAAATATCATGAGAATTTTGGATAGAATTAGAGCAAGGATTATGAGAACATACTTCATTTAATAAACTATTTAAGACATCAATCTTCTCAATCCAGTCCAATCCCAATAGATCTAAATCATGCCGATTTGTTAGATAACAAACGTCAGTGAATTTATGTTCCTTGAACTGCACGTTGCAGGTGACTTCTCCAGTTAGCTTCACTATGTCGCCTGAAGCATTTCGAGCAACATGCTCTGTTGGTCGGATGCGTGGGCACCCTAGCTTACGCCATGTGTTCTTGGAGATCAGCGTAATGTCGGAAGCAGTGTCTAATTGAAGACGAATGGGTTTTTCATTCACTAATAAGTTCACATACTTCCGTTTACTTTGAAATCCCACTTTAAAAGTTGCAAATGTGCTTTTGACTTGGCTCTGTGGCTGTCGCTTCACCTTTACGCCCCGATGTTTGGACTGACGTCTATCTGATGAGCAGTAACCTTCTTTATGACCAATGCGATGACATTGGCGGCATTTGTGGCTCTTAAATGGGCATAACTTCACAAAATGCCATGATCCGCAGAACCAACATGATGATGGTGGTTTACCA